TTCTGCTGGTTCCTGACAGGCCGTGATTTAGCACCGCCGAGGCCCAGCGCCCGGGTCAGAGTCGAGCTGCAGGCCCTGAACTATCTGCCCATAAGATGGCAGCATGAATCATGGCTGACCCAGTGCTGGCCTCTTCCCCGCGCAAACATGACAAATCTGGTGTTTATTTACTTAAACAGGAAAAGCCAAGAAAAAGTCCCGAAAATCGATACCGCGGCCTAGAGCCGCCGCTTTTAGCCATGGAACCCCGAGCTATTTTACAACCCACAGCAACATGGTTAACCTCCGCACCGTGTGAATTTAAAGGCGCCGTATCCATTTGTACAGCTCGTCGCGAAGTCCGAGATCTACTCACTATCCTGAACGGCACATGTGTTTTCCTTCTGTTAACTCTTTTCTTTATTTTTCCATTCTTTTCAAGGTGGATCAAACAGCTGAGATGTTGCAAACAGAATGATCTGCATGGCACCCATCTTGCAGGCAGGAGGTCAGACCTCCTTCGAATTCAGTGAGGCTTCCATCGGCGTTTCCCAGAATCGGAAACATTTACCGGCTTGTACTTTTATATACAAGGAATTTACTTTGGAGTGTCATGGCAAAACATGCAAGAAGAATCTAGACAATCAACATCATAAATTATATACATAAATAACATTTTTAAAATTATTGTCTCATCGCATCCTAAAACCTGGAACACCACATAAATGACCAAGGATCCAAGGATGATGATCCAGGAACAACTCAATCTGGAACATGCAAAACCGGTAATGGAAATGCCTTCCAAGCCAAGGTTCTTTTGCCGCACCTAAGTTTGGATGTTTACGTTTCCGCGTGTCAGTTGTGCTCTTTACAGGGTGCAACATGGAACCTACTAGAATCTCTGCCTCGCTCGAAGCCATGTGAATGCGGTGAGAGCCTCTCCCACGGTGGGAGGAGGAGAAAAAGCTGTCAAGGCTTCTGTCATATCCTCCATCACTGCCCATCCCTGGTAAACCAAGCGATGACCAGGGATGAAAGTGCTGGAAAATGGAAGTAATTCTAAACCATTTTCTGCCCAGAAGCCCCCAGCATCAGGAAGACAAATGGGACCAGGCCAATGACAGAGTGCCTGGCCCACAAATCACCAGCCACTGCCCCGTCCAGTCCTCCCCCCGATCGCCCTCCCCCATTAGTCATCAGCACGCAGAGACCAGCAGCCAAGATCAGTAATTAGACAAGGACAAATAGCCAGCCGTAGACACGGATGGCTCTCTCCGCCAAATAAGGGGCCGTTACCATACCGACCGGTGGGCAGGGCGCAGGGCTCCGGGATAGAGGTTCTGCCCATTCGCTGGCAACTCATTTGTTACAGGCATTCGCACCTTGCTTCGGAACGCTCCCCCATACCCTGAGCGTGCCCTTTCAGATCCGAGGCCAGCCCGAAGGCTTACCGAGAGGGTACCGTGCCGGTGGCAACAGCCCGTGAATCTGCAGCTGGCTCTCTGCCAATCTGGGAGCTCGACCACGCAGGTGGTGTCCGCAGACACGAGGTGACACCACCCCCCGTCCTCTTACACGTTCGGGGCAGTGAGTAGCCCATGGAACCACGGGCACATTCAGTATTTCTGCCAACCCCTTGGCATCGCAGTCTAGTACGTTTCATTTCAAAGATGTACATTTATTTATCAGACAGGCGCTTTTGTCCCGTGTGAAACCAGCCTACAGCTGTCAAGGAGCCACCTAAGCTTAAGTGGCACCAACTTAAGCCTTCAAACAAGGTCAAGTTAGCATCAGAACAAGAGCTATATGATATGCTGCAAAAATAGTGAGAAGTTAATAGAAAAAAATATTCAAAATCAGAAACAAAGTACAAAAAAAGAGTATCCTGGATAAACAAGAGACTAGCTAAGGGGAAGCAGATGAAGACAGAGCAGGTGAGCAGCTGGAGAGCTACTTGGCACAAGGTGGACTCTGGAATTCCCAATTTCCACAATGTGATGCAAACACAGTGGCGCAGTTACCGACGGCGTCGTTCACGGAGATGAGCGGGACGCCTCCCCGTACAAACAATTCGTCACAGCTTGAAATTAACACCGTCGGACAGACGCTCACCCGGCTTCTCTCTGGGAGGCCCTGGCCCGAGATTTCATTCCGCAAAGTCAAACGGGAAATAAATAAATAAGACCTGAGCAATAAAAGGTTTCAGGGCACATTAGGCGTAACGTTAGAGGGTGGAATTAGCTAAAATGAGTCACTGGTGAATCAAATTACACGGGGGGTGGGAAGCAGTCAACAAAATATAAATTGCTATTCTATGAAAAAGAGCGGGGCCCCGAATTCACTAAGGGACGGCACATAATGATTGTTTGGCCAACTCACCGCGCTGCGCCGTGACGGCAAGGGCCTTGGGATCACAGAGTTTGACCAGCACACAGGGAGAGTCCCACTCGCAGTGGGCTCCTATTGATTCTGTCCTGTGCCTAATTATTTTTATTGGATTTCATAATCATCGGGACCAAAAAAAGCTCAGGACCAAGCACAATTTTTAGTCCCGTTAACACTTTCTAAAGCGGAGAATGAATAGGTATAGTTAATACCTGTCCCCAGATATTTGAACTATCAAAAGGATTTCTTTGCAAGCTCATGCCGTACAGATGTGTGCTGGGCAAAGAAAAAGACCTGGAGTTTTTTTTTTTTCCTGTCAAAATGATTGTCGTTTGGCATCGTGAGTCACCTGCGTGATGTAGCGACATTTTTCACAACGTCGCTCCTTTTGTTTGGAGTGTAATGAAAAGGGCCTCGGTTAAGCATCATAAAATGTGAAGCGGGGCAATACTCCACCTGCAGCAGGCTTTCTGGTCATCCAGACATGAAATGACCCATGGCAATAGGAAAACAATCAACAAACAAACAATAAACTTAACAAACAATGAACTGAACAAACAATGAACTGAACAAACAATGAACTGAACAAACAATGAACTGAACAAACAATCACCGGGTTTCTCTTGGTCAAAATCCGGCTACTTTTTTCAGGGACTCTAATGACAATATTCTGTACAGGGAACTGTTTTCGTCTGTGGTGCATGAAAAGCAAAGGGAATGCTGGTTTGGGGGTGATTTAAGAATGTTTCGCGGCTTATGGAGGCCCCAGAACACAACCCAGTCCTGTCTACCACATAAACCTATTACTGAGTGCAAAATGTGACTTTCAGATATTTACCCCTGTGTCACACAGTAAATTTCCATTTCCTTAACTATAACTCCGTTACCAGAATTTTTTGGATTTAAAAATGTTCAATCTTCAGCAAATAAGTATGGTATAAACAATAGCTGTCATCTCAGTTATATTAGAATGCTTTTTTTAAAAGCAGACCACTTTGCTCTGACTCCTGGAAAAAGCACACAAACAAATACCATTTCCCCCCCATGCTATACAGGCAATACAGCCAGGGGTGTTTTCCACTGCTGAGTCGACACCAGTTGTGGTCACACTGTAGAATGTAAGACAATATATAAAGACCCGTACAAAACGCAAGTTTCCAGTGTACACTGAGTGACAGCAATGGAAAAAATACAAGAATGATGGATGTAAAAAAGTATTTCCGGGGGGGACGGACGACCAGTAAACCTTCCCCATGATGGTTAAATCCAATTGTCCTCAAGTGCTCAGTAAATTCCCATAAAACAGGGGGAATTTTATAAACGAAACAGGCAGACTTGTCTTTTCCTTTACTGTCACTCTGTCATGGTCAGCTAGTTACATCTGGAAGCGGTCAAATGGTCAGTTCTGTGAGGTGCGACCACATGAACATAACTAACATAGTGGGCAGTGGTGGCTTAATGGTTAGGGAGGTGCACTTGTAATTGAAAGATTGCAGGTTCGAATCCCCGACCAGCAAGGCACCACTGAGGTACCCTGAGCAAGGTACCGCCCCCAAGTGCTGAATTAGCTGCCAACTGCTATGTCACATATGGGTGAAATGCAGAGGACACATTTCATTGGTGTGTCAACAATGACAATTAATCAAAATATAGTTAAGCCAGGTGGCTGTCATACCTCCAAGGTCCTGGGATAAAATGAACTTTATTAATCCCACAAATGAAATGTCAGCGTTACAGCATCAGTTATAGACAGGACCAGATGATTCCCAATCTGGCTGCATGTGTGCAGACTGCATGTACTCCCTATGTTACTGCTACAGTCCAAAGGCTTTCGGTTAAGCAAAATGGTATCTACAGTGCCCATAGAGTGTGTATGCGCCCTGCAATGGACTGGTATCCTGTCCAGGGTCTCCTGTAACCCTTGAATGCCCACATTAGGCACCTGTGACCCTCCTCTGTAATGAGTATTTTTTGTTAATCCCATGGACTGAGCTCTAATTCTGAATATTGGAACAGGGGCCCTTCAAATATGCTGAAGCTGCTCATTCAGAAAAATAAGAGCAATTGCAGATAGCTATGGGGGGTGCATGAGTCCACACGTCCGACACAACATCACCAGTCACGCCAAAGGTACGTTAGACAGCTTTCCAGGTCACTGGGGACAAGTGGACTCAGATGTACCCTGATTATCACAGTACAGTAAAAGGACTGTGGTCTTCTAGGGACAGGCCCAGCTTGGTTCTTAAATTGTGTCCACAGACCGGCCCTCGGGCAGAAACAGGACCAAAGTCAATTTTTGTGGACAGGTGACCACAGCCACGCTGGCAATAACACGACAATAATGACAATAACGACTTGTACAAAACAGCAAATTTGTTTCCCTCCTTACTGTAACTTCAAAGTGTCTCAACCGTTACCTTCAAGGTACAAAAGCTGGCCCACAGCAGCAGCTGTGCTACAGAATGTGAATTTAACAGCTTTGTGTATAAGCAGCTAGTTCCTGTGGGTTTCCTCTGGGTACTCCGGTTTCCTACCACATGGCCAAAAACATGTAGTTCAGACTAATTGGTGCATTGGAAAAAAAATGTCCTTAGTTTGTGCTTTTGTGTTACGTGTCCTGTGATAGGCTGGCTTACCTCATACTCTGGGCCTTGCCAGCCTCCTTCATTGGATAAGCAGTTACGGAAACAGATGGAGAGAATTTGATTGGCTGGGCTGAAGAACGAAGAAAGTGAAGCATGGTGGTCACCAGAACATGGACTCAGTCTGAAGTGTATTTGTTTACCCAAAACTTCATATTTCACGCTTCTTCACACTTGGACATGAACGCCTAATTTATTAGCTGAAATCTCCAGTTTAAAATCCCCCCATAACATCCTGTCACCAGTGGTGGTGTTTACAATAACTCAAATCACTCAAAGTCACTATGCTAAAAATTAATTAGACACGTTCCTTATTTAGAACAGGCTGAAGCACCATGTTCTGCTAACCAGCTAGCTAACTATGGTCTTCTGACTTTACTCACTAGCTGTTTATTTAATTTTTTAAACATTTGGGGAGGGGGACAAAATTACTTTTTGAGTAGCGGCCCTGAAACAACGAGTCCATCCCTGGCTGTCACCTTAAATTAAAAAAAAAAACTCAAAAATGAGGAATTTATCACCAACCTTTCCCTAGAATTACAGCCTGCAGTCTTCCAGCTATCCGCTAACAGAAACCGAAGACCCAGGTAGATTCTGCAGTGCTGTGCATTGTCCAGAGTAGCGTTTCAGTGGCGGCCAGCCTTGAGCCAGACGGTGACATCAGTTCCAGGCAGGTCGGCTTTCACTCTTCTGTGCTCCCTAAACACAGTCCTGGCACTGAGGAGACTGCAGTTCAGATAAGGGCTGAAAAATCCAGATGAATTATTTGCGTACATTCAAGACTCGCGCAGAGATAAGGAAAGAATTAGAGGAAGAGATAGAGAGCGCGTGCGTTTGTGCAAGCGCGCGCTTGTCAGGGAGTAAATTAGGCGCCAGTTTAGGGAGAGAGACGCCACAGACGGCCATTAAAGGTGCTGGATCTGAGCGGCGGGGTGGACGGACAAAGACTCCCGGGTTTCTTTAAAGGGCCGTCTGCGTATGAAAGATAGCGTTCGTCACCAGTCAAGCAAAAATGCAAAGGCAGAAACATAGGAGCGGGGAGGGGGGCGCTTTCAGCGCCAAACCGCCCCGTAAAAAATTACCCAGAATCCTCAGCTGATATCAGAATTAGTGCCACATCACAGGAGAAGTTTGAAGGTGCATGAAAGAGTCTCAAAACTCCCCGTAATTACTGGCATTTCCCCGAACGCCATTTATCCTTCCCAGCATGCACCGATAACTTTTAGCTGTTATCCCCCTTATTAGAGTTAAGCAACATAATCGCATTTTTGTGATGATCGCGACTGTTTCCGAACCTACTGTTCAACCCATCAAATTCGCACTTCTGAGAATCGGAACCGTGCACCTCATTTAAGTCTTTAATTGTCGTCAGCATTTAACGCTGAAACGTAAACCAGCAGCCCGTGAAAGTGAAAAATAGGACCGCGGGAGACGAGCGAGCCCCCGCCTCCCTGTAAACATATGTTAACATGAATGTAATTATGCCAGGGTACTCCCCTTATATTTCATGATTTAAGACCGGCTTTGGAAGTCAGACACAAGGACCATAAACTATATTTTTAAATTACAGGGGAGTGGTAAATTAAACCATTAAAGGACATGAATAAAGCCCTTAAGTAATGAGGGGAATATGGACATTTGTTCATAGGCAAAGTGGCTTTCAAGTGAGTTTGATCCCACATCTTTCTACAAACAGCACCGGTGCATGAAGAATAGAGAACACAGTCTTGGAAGTTTAACCTGGTCTACTGGAGTTTGTACCTCTAATTTACAACAGCAGAAATTAAAAGCTTGTTTTTTTTTTGTTTGTTTAAAATCCGAATCAGTTGTCACTTGGCTGTATTATGATTCTGCTTTGGTGTTTTTCATGCCCAGATGCTGGAAAGCATAGAGGTCTTATGGGGCAATGGCTACGCAGCAGAGAGTGGTATCCAAAAATTCCACATACATGGGGAATTACCCACCAGACACCAGGCTAAGGCAGCACCCTGAAATTCTTCAAACGAGAGACCATTATACTCTAATGGTCAGCAGAGGAGTAGGTACGTGTCTCTTACACTGATCTGTTTTCAGGATGCAACACAGTCTCTGGGATGGTTAATATTCTTGCCAGCCCATTACAGAGGCTTGCAAAGGATTAACTCCTTATGCTCTGCAGTCCTTCAAAACTGCACGGAATATGACAGCAGGGATTGTGAAAGACTAGCATGAAAAAGTATTCGAGTGTAAGTGGGGATAGCGTGTGGCTTAGTGGGCTAGGACTGTGCCTGTGATCGGTAGGTCGCTGGTTCAAATTCTGTGGTCAGCGGAGTGATGTCACCATTGGGCCCCTGAGCCAGGCCCTTAACCCCTAACTGCTCCAGGGACTGTCTGACCCTGCTTTCTCAAAAATGTAAATTGCTTTGGCTAAATAAAGAGAATGTAATGACACATTTTCCCCTAGGAAATACTCGAGTAATAATAAGAAGAAAAGAAGTGTCTGCCGTATGCAACTGGCTCTGTAGGGAGAGTCAGGTGTCTGGTGTTTGTCATACTTATTTTCCCGCCTTTTGCATAAGCTGTTGTGTTCTGTTTTGTTTTAACCCTGGTAACCTGGTCCATCCTGAGTGGTGTAGTTGTGCATACTGGATCTTTTGTCCAACACAACTACCTGAGTTTGGCCCATCTTCTTACCGCATTTGTTCAATTATGTCTTGCGATAACGTTCTGTGTTGTGTCGATCCTGTTCCCGCCATGACACTGTTATTCCTGATAAGGAATCGCTAATCGCAAAGAAAGCTACCTTGTCATTCTCGGTCCCCACATTCTCAGAAAAAACGGTCAAAGTTTGTACCTTTGCTTGTCACTGGGGCTGTACCCTCAAGGGTCTGCCAATTGTACCCATAGCTGTAGGTAATTGTACCTTTTAAGGTACAGAAATGGACTCTGAGGAACATTTCTGTACCACTGATGGTACATTAATGCTGTTTGTACCTTTGGGATGTTCCTCAGAGTTCTGTACCTTAAAAGGTACAATTACGAGGGTACAGCCCCAGCCCGCATGTCGTGTGGGCCCATTTTATTTCACATCTCTAACACACTGCACTACTGAGACTCATTGGCCCTCTGTAAAACTATCCGGGATGTATCTATGGCAACAAGTCTGACCTCTGACCCCCCCGCAGCACCACCAGTCACAGAACTGTCCTGAAGGAGCCTGCTTCTCAAAGCAGTTAACTTGACACACATAGTCAAGGAGATTTTCCCACCTGTATGTTTGGCATCCCAGTAAGGTGGGGTGCTTCTGGCAATCAGCTGTCAAAATGTGCACGGGGAGGGGGGGGGAGAGAGATGTGGGCTCACGGGCCAGTGGAGAGGGCTTAAATTCCAGTGAAGATGTTTTTGGCCTTGATCACCGAGCGGGTCGATGCCAGCTGATTCCCTCTCAGATACGTCTTATTTTATTAGTGGGTTCAGCCTTCTGCAGCCCCATTCCGCCGTGATCAATACCCCGACTCGGCCACACCGTATTTTTCTCACTTTTAGTGCCTTAACGCTGTTTAACCGTGTGACCTGATAAACAGCAGGGCCTCCCGAAACGCTGATTTCCTATCGATTTCTCCCTCAGCCCCTCCGTCCCACATGCCCGTCACTCTCGCATTGTTTTTACCTCCAGTTATCTGCTCAGTTCCTCCACCTTACAGAGGCAGCGTCGCCATCACTGTGGTCGGTAAAGGGCCGCGGTGAGGTTTTCCGGCTAGCTTGGGCCTGGAAGGATTTCTGCAGATGGCGGGCGGACCTTTAACCGGGTCAGTCTCCTCTTTTCAAGCCCAAATGGTGTAAAAACATAAAGCCCAGAGAATGGCAGAAGGGTAAGGAAATTCTAATTCTTGGTCAGAGGAATGTCACACTTCTCTGTTTACAAAGAGACATTAAATAGCTTCCAAATAGGCTGCCTCATCCACAGAGACCGCGGTTTCCTCTGGGCCTGGAAACATTTGGCTTCTCTGTTTTTCCAACCATGGGCCAGACGACGACAAAAACCCCATGCTTGAGAGGTCAAACGCAAGCTAAGGATGAGTAGGGCCATCGTCTGCCAGGCGTACTTTGAGATTAAGTCCCAACTTACATATAATACCCAGTCTTGATAGTGGCAAAAATAGTATCATGCAACAGATGAAAGAAATTGTTAAAAAAAAAAAAACTAAACTGTCACGGCTGTGACACAGAGATGAAAGCAGAGCCTCAGAAGGGGGAATGAACAGAGCTTTCCTTCCTTATGCTTGAGCCATGATTAATGGAGTGACTTTTGGGTACAAGTTTAGTTTAGAAATGATACCATGAGGTTCATGGGTAGGACTGCATCCCAGCAGTCTGAAGTTTAAAGCTCTAAAATTTTATAAAATTATTTTTTTTAGAAACTTTCTATGCTATTGTCAAGATATACCAAGCCACGCCACAACAATTTGAGCTGTGTATCTTATAAATCACGTTCTTCACCCCGTTTCTCATCATAACCGTAAAGGCTGGAGCCCACCTTCTTGTCGGGCTGCTAGCTCTGACGTCACATTCTGTCATTGCATAAGCACAGTATCATCGCACAGCCGATGGTCGCTACAGAACATTTTTATGCAGTTCTGTTTATACCTTTAAGAAAAGCGGGAGGCGGAAGAAGCCTATATAAGTAAAATAACTTTTAGGGACACCAACGTAATTTTATATATTCATTTGAATGTATTTGTTTTATTTTTGCATTCCTCAGTCACTAATACTTATAGCGCCGTAGCCAACTGTATGCCTACCAAATTTAAATTAGCAGTAAAATAATTTGTCTATTCATATATTAAGCTTGTTTTTAATCTGCTCATAATTAACTAATTTCTCTTAACTAGGCTAATACGTTAGTTATTCTTTAAATATTATTATTATTATTGTTGTTGTTGTAGTAGTAGTCTTGTAATCAACATACCGGTGCAGGTTCCTTGATGCAACAGAAAAACAAACAGGATTCGTCAGTCACCAGCCCGGCAAAGGAACGACAGCCGGTTAAGGATGTAGAGTGACTCTCAATCCACAGGCCGGTGGTTCGGGTCGCCAGACTTGTCCTGTATAACCCTTGAACTAAATAGTCAACCTGCAATTTCTCCAGTTTAATATAAGGTTATGTTTTGTGTAAAAGCGTCAGCAAAGCAACTACATGTAAAAGTAACCATCCGGAATCGTATCGCTCCATCGTGGCTGATTCGTATCTAGGAATACTTTAATGAACCCAGTTTATAGGCGCAGCGCGATTTCGCCTTAATTTTACGTAAATAGTCAAACTCCTTGCACTACCAGCCCTGTGATCATTGTACTGGCTCATTTCATTATTTATGCAAAATTAAACCGGTCACTGCTCCAACTTTGGAGCACCGCAGCCCTTATTGATCCTGTTCTTGAAGTGTTACCATAAATTTCCTTGTCCGGGCTTTAATGGCACGGCGAGGAGTGCCTTATCATTGCGTGATTTAGAGAGATCAGCTGTAAATCGCGGTGATTGCAATCGCTCAGCCGCATGCCGCCCCTGGCTTTTATGACGCCCTCTCCCCCATCTTAATTTTTAATCAACAGTAATACGCAACGTAGCACATCTATATCGTCTCCAAAAATGACAATAATTTGGTTACTTAGGATATCCTGTTTGTTGCAATCAAGAGAGCCGTGCAGGCCTATGTCAATGTTAAAATGTTAGTTTAGTTAAAGCAATACTAATTATTTCGTTCTTAAATATTTTATTACGTTTAAATATTTAACACTGGTTTAAGTGATCAATTAATGTCGACTATAAGCTCACCATGTCACACCGAAATACTTAGTGAAGATCCAGCCATAACCCTACTTAGATGAGAGCAGAAGAGCTCATTCTGCTCTCGTATTCCTTGCTCATGACGGCCACACAAGTAGATCACTAGCACCACCTAGTGGTGGCATTGTCCCATCGCAAAGCCCAACGCATTAATCATGACCAAGGGAGTGTAAAATTCAATCGGCTTCCTCCATCCATTTCAAGTTGCCGTCTGAAGGCCGGCCTTGTGTGCCTGGAAAAAAAAGCTCCCTACACTTCATCAGGACCCTTACTTCATAACAAATGGAGTGTCTTTCCCGTGGAGTTCTGCCATCGGAAAGTGCCGCTCTCTCTATCCATTTAATTCCGGGAGCAGTGGAAGGGTCAGGGTACGAGCTCCTAGCTGCATTGAGTACCCGGTGCTTCCCACTCACGCAGTAAACTACCTTTTAGGAATTGTTTCTCAATAAGAAATGATCAGTCCATTTATCTGAAGCAGGCTAGCTGTCTCCCCGCCCAGACCTCCAATATTTTTCGTTTGACCCGATCAGGGCTGTAAACTAGACTGAGACACTTTCAATTTGTCACCGAAGCCAGGGCTTTCAAGCCCAGACACCTGCTCCGAATGTACAAATTTCTCCTGCGTGAAATTATTCTCATTTTAAAATTAATTTTCAAAGCCCTGAAACGTTTGCAGCGTAAGTTCAACTAAGTGTAAGATCTATCGGAAGTTTATCCAAAATATTGTAAATAAATCAAAATTTAAAATAGGCCTACTAATTTCGTACACAAGGAAGTATCTGGCTTTTTATTTTTTGGGGGTGGGGGTGGGAAAGGGGGAATACAACATATATTTTGAATCAGATATAAGTAGATCATTTTTCATGTCTATAGATATGTCACACGCGACTATATCTCCTCCTTAATCTGATGTCAGGTAGCTGCATCATTAAGAAATGTCAAATTTTCCTCCGACAGACTGGGGTTGTTTTCATGGAATGTTCAGGGTCTATGTTGTGATTGTGATTTAAGGGTGACAGAAAACCTAGACCTTGCAAAATAAAAAACGCAGATTTAATGTGGTACATTTCGCTGAAATTTAGTTTTAGCGTCCCAGTGTGAAACTGCACAAATGAAGGTGTATAATGAAGAATTATTTCTTCTGAAGTATGATATTCTGTATTTTTTTGTTAAAAAACGGATAAAAATAAATACCTAACAAATTAATTAAGCAAAGACCTATTCTAAGTAGGGTACAAATTAAACCAAATTGGGTCGACTGATAAATCTTTAATTGCTGTGGTTTCGCTTCTTGTGTTAATGAGAACAAATGAACGTAACAGAATTTCACAAAATATTTGGCCTATTCCCCATTTTTGGGGGAACGCGGCACCCGTTACCTGGTGAGGGTAATTTAAACCAGGGCCGGCCAATATTATATGCCGCATAGGCGAGAGCCTAGGGCGCCAGCTTCTGAGTGGACGCCGACTTGCCAGCCAATTTCACTTTGCTTGGGACGGTGATGCTAGCTTAGGGTGCCACATCGACAAGGAGCGGCACTGAATTAAACTACGATGCACCGTCCGCAGCATCGTCTGCTTCGGTCATCCCGCGACTCCTCCGGACCGACACTTTCCCCCACTGCGCATGTGCAGATGAGTGGAGGTGGGAAACCTGGGCTGCACCAGACCCACGTTTTTAAACATCCTCTAAAATGTTTTTTATATTGGGCTGCTTTGCGTGCAGTAGGTCTTTGCTGACGACCCGTTACCTTGTATAGTTTATTAAACCACATCGATTTGTATGGACAGCACAGAGACGTAGATGAAAATCGTCTAAATATTTTAATTTAGATTTTTTTTGTAACTGTTTTTTGTCTTTTACAATGGTAACAATTTATTGCTCGCATTAGTTTTATATTGGCAACAAAAAAGTCATATTAAAAAGAGCTTATAAATCTTAGTAAACACGAATGCTTTTAAAATGGAAATAATGATTCCATGCGGAAAATTGTTTTAAACTTACAAGTCCCAATTAGTTCTATTTGACAAAAATCCTTATTAAGAACTCAACCGGTACATTGTAAGCGGTTTACCGTGAACTAACTCACACGGCACGAAATATTAAAACAGTGCTTAACAGGCCAGACGTAGTGTCGGTTTATACGTGGCTTCACGTTTTCGGTATTCTCTGCTAAATCCAAAAAACGACAATACGTGAAACGTGAAGTTTAAACGTTTTCCCTGTATTGCATGTGGTTCAATAGTCAGCCTCAATTAGTTAACTAGTCAGAAGCTTTTCTTTAAAATCGGGGCTCTTCAAGCTTAGAGTCATTAATTTATCCATCCATCCAGGGGTGGTGGGGAGGCTCATAATCCAGAGATTTACGGCACCTAAAGGTAGCTTAATTGACGTAATTGTCATACGCCTTTCTTAAAGTGAATGTCGGTGATGGTGTATTTTTTTGTGTGCTGCCATGGGCAGGCACTGTATCCAGGGCGGTGCCTCAGGGAATAGACTCAAGGCTGAACACTAGCCCACACTGAATCAGCGACCCTGATTCTGGGAGGGGGGAACGGGATGAAGATTGTGTCGACATTTTGATTTTTCAGTTCGTCCAAATAATTTTGAGTTTCTGGTGTTTCAGTGTACCTGTAAAACCATGAAGGAAGTGAGTACATGGGGAGAAAAAAAATCAGCAGACAAAAATAAACTGTGAATAAAAGGTGCGAGTTCTGGTCTTCGAAAATGGCATCAAGTCAAACCTCTTGGAAGGGCATCAACAAGCCAGAATCGTTTTATTTTTTTGGCACAGCTATGGTCTGCATTTGACCTAAATGACAAAGAAAATCTGAAAAATGATTCAAAGTCGGGACTTATTTGGTTGCTGAAGTAGTACGTCGTATCCGTCAGTCGTCATTAAAACATATTTACATGAACTTGACAGAACAGTCTTTTGAAACATGTGTCAGACTAATTGCATCTCTTTGGGGTTGTTTTCACACAGATCTCTGTCCTTAGGATTACGGCACCATAATTTTGCTGACGCCATTTGACAAGATGTCACTTGCTGATAATGTCATCCTGAAAAGCAGCTTTTTGTCAGAAGGGGAAATCCCCGCATTATAAGTTGAACTGGAGTGATGTCATTATCTTTGGGCAAAGGGCATATAGTGTTTCTCTGTGAAGACATACAGACAAAATAACAACACTTCCAAATTATATATTTATGAATGATTTAAGGGTTAAGCAAGCCAATTTCAAATAAGATTTTTTTTTTAATCTAAGTTTTCATATTTTTACACACACACACACACACACACACACACACACACACACACATACATTTTGGTTCTTTTCTCTCAGTTTGCAACAGCCTTACAACTCTAGAGCACATGGGACACATTCGTTCTGAAGAACAGATCATCAAACACTTTAATGTACTGGTATCTCACAGCTTTATTTCAGGATGTTCTGGACAGACCTTGGGAGATGAGCCTTACAGAACAGGAACTTCATAACTTGAGCTACATTTAGGCTGAGTACAGGTTACAGGTTACATTTACTTCTTGCAGTCGACTAGGTTAATAAACTAGAGTTGTTCATTAGTTGTAATCAGTTTTACTTATCATGCAAGAGCATTGGACTGTATATTTATTTAGCGGCTTTGTTTGACATTTTCCTTAGTACTCCTGTGTGTTTAACAACAGTTAAATCTAGCCTAATATAGGACAACAATCAATATACAACCATGCGAGCATTTATCAATAAAGTTATAACAGTAACCTTACTGAAATGAAAGCAGGTTTTAGTGGAATACAACACCGTTATATTTGCTCTCAGAAACCTGTCACTCAAGGCTACGTTCTTCCTGGAAGCTTTGTAATCCACCCACACACAAAGGTTGTCCGTATAATAACTAAGAAAGTTAACAGGTTAAAAATCAATGGATCACATAACATGTGGGGAACACGATGAAAAAAAAGCAACAAATTATGGCTTATTTCTGTTCCACGGGTTTATAAGAATGTAACAGTGATACAATTCACAGTGTTTACACATTCCATCTATTAAAATCGCAAGTATGGTTCAATTAAATTTGGCACATAATGGTTAAAGGCCTCAGAATTTAAGCTAAGGGACGATGATGACTAGAACTTGCCCAGCAGACAAAAGAAATCCTAATTTAAAGGTGTCAGAACAGAAAGCGTTGGCTCACAGTTTACTCAGCTTCTGTTAAAATGAGTTCTCCTGTCGTCTAACTTCTCGGATACTGATGCTAGGTGGCAGGAAACCTGAGGTCACAGGTGCGGATTCTCAAGCCCAAGCTGTCGAACCTTGTGTGTGTGTGTGTGTGTGTGTGTGTGTGTGTGTGTGTGTTTTTAAAGAAATGATTACATGGGGGCTCCTTCCCATTCCCGGTGTGCATACCTTGCTGTCCCACAACTCAAAAAAAAAAAAATAAAATAAAAAATTAAAAATAAATACAGAGCTTGGCATCCGGCTGACACAGAGGGCCCCCTCGGCCAGATCCGAACCTGCCCTGTGTCTATATACAGGTGTGCGGGGGGGTGAGGAAATAAATAAACACCTACACCTCTATCTAAACACAGATGGAGCACAGTGTTGGTGGACTTGTCCCCCTCTCCTCCGCACGCCTGCTGCCCCCATAGCGGTTATTCCCTCCGCTCCGCTCTTCGGTGCGTGTTGCCCGAACGCTGAAGGCAGAGCCAACTACCCATCTACCTGCCCCCGCAGGCGCGGCCCGCGGCCAGGGCAGCTGCGTGGGGGCAGCGGGCTGCGGCACCCCCGCTCAGATGACCTTGGCTCTTTTGCTGCCCAGCGACCCGTGCTGGGAGAACACAGAGAGCGAGGCAGTGAGTGAACGCGGAGCTCGATTCGGGAACATGTCGTCCACCCCCCCCCATCCCCCCTCCCCCATAGCAGCTGTACCACACATCGGTCAGCTCTCCTCCGATGCATCGTCCTAAGACATTCAGGCGTTTGTGCTATAAGGTGCAAGATATGCGACTACATTTCGGGGCACGGGAACGTCGGTTCTCCTTTAATGGTGGACGAGTCACCCGTCGCAATCCGGCGAGCGCATTATCAGAGAGTTGTTTGTTTTTTCCGTGCCGACCCCCCTACCTTGGCCTGCTTGTAAAAGTGTGGTGCCAGCTCCACCAACCAGGAGGACTCCACCGCGGTCACGTCACGCATGAAGTACTTGGAAGTCTGCACCACTTCATTGTAGACCACCCTGAGTGGGAATGGGCGAGGCGTGAGCAGATACAAAGCGCCGTGTGGCAGAGGTCGACCTGATCCCCCAATCTTGTGAGGCGGCTTACCATTTTGGGGGCTTTTCGGCATAAAGAACTGAGCTGGGGTGGATGTGGAGCTCCCGGTCGTCCCGCAGGGTCCTGGGGCAGAGAGACCAAGGTCAGGAACCACAGGTACTTCAGCCCGTAAGACACCGGACAGCAAGCCTACGGGAGTCAGGATCTCACCTGTATGATCCGGAATGGTGCAATCGGGCGGCATTGGCGAAGAATCCCGAAACGATGCATCTTAGGATGACATCAGGGTCACCTGGACGGGCCACAGGGTGTGATGATAGGGATGGAAACCGCCAGGACCTTGCAGATCAGCCGATACCGAGCAGGGGAAATGCAACACCCACCTTCGCTGGAGGTACGAGGAACCTTGAACTTATTCATGAGTCGCCGTAACTGCTCACGGACCGTTACTGACCGGAGGAGACCCTTGTAGTTAAGAAAATGTTCTTGGCACCACTGGGAGCTCTTCTGGTGCTGGAAGGCAGGGGTCCCGAAGCAGAACTCATAAGAACTTAGTAGGTAGTTTGACAGACAATGTAGATCCTCAAGGGTGACCTGTCTCACCTTGATGAAGGCCTCGTAGACGTTCAGCATGGTGAGGTGGTCTCCTTCAGCAACTGCAAACTTCCTATGTTCTCGTGCCTGCGGGGAGCAAACAAACACAGACACGAAGATAAAAACGATGAGGGTAAACGATTTGGATGGGTATCTACTCCCCTCCAAGAAAGAGGGATGGAGACAAGCTCCAGGAAACCAGCAGTGATGGCGGTGATTTCCAGGACAGAATGGTTGACGGCAAGACATTCAGCGTCATGATTTGAAACATCTACGTTGAGAGATCCTTAGATCCCGTACAATTCAGCCTTGTATGAAACATATCCCAGCATGCACTGGGCATCTGCCAAATTCACTGCTGCCTGTCATCGCTTAATCCTTGCCACATTGAAGACTTACAGAATTCATGACCATGAAGCATCTTCTCAGATGTCTATTGAGAGTCAACCTACAGCCTCCATTGGTGTTGGACACACCTACCTGCTGGTTAAGGCCATCAGATCTGGAGATTTCTGGCTCAGTTTTTGGCTTGACTATTATTGGAAGGAATTTTCAGGCAACAGAGACTTCACATGAGACCGTTCTCTGACCGCATGTGTAAAAACATCAAAAGCCAACACAACCGAGCGTAAAACGAGACACAGGCAAGAGTGAGCAAGACGAGGCGAGAGAGGAAGAGGTTTTCTTGCCTTTGCAAGGTTGCTTGCCACTTTTATATAGTTCAGAGAGAGGTAGAGAGGAGGTGCTGTTGGTGCAGGAGAGAGTGAAAGAGGAGGGCAGACCCTCGCCTGCCCGCGTTCTGGAGAAGCAGAGTCTACACTGATGAAGAATGGGGCTTCCCAGCAAAGAGAAAGACATTTCCATTTGTGAAACTGGACATGCAACCCACAAGTACTCAATGAACAGCCCACAGATTAGCAAACCCATTTACAGCGGGGTCCAAAAAAAAAAAAAACAAATGTGCCATACTGCAGCGATTACATCATCGTGACTAATGTTGGCTAATGTTGCGATGACAGCATGGGATCGATAATTCTCTGTGTAATATCCTGTAATGCCAACTGGCCACATGCGGTTCTGGGATTGACTACCTGCACAGTCCCAATCACAGCAGTTCTATGCTATATTTATGATTCTATATTTATTCGTAATTAGTGTGTAATCGTTTATTTTTATTTTTTTTAATCACATCTTTTTGGCATCAGGTGGAACTTTCTAGAATCTTCAGTCCTGAAACACATGTGCGAGCACCCAGTCGCCGCGGTTTTACGGCAACGGCCAGGGCTACCCCCCCAGGACTGTGCCCCAAAATAGCCAAAACTCACAGCTGCTTTCTTCTGATTGGGCGGTGAGACGAAGATGTTCTGGATCTGCATCATGGCCGCGATGGTCACGATCTCCTTGGAGCATCCGAAGTTGCCTGACTCCAGCAGCATCTTGGCAAACATGGGCCCCAGGGGGAACTCAGCCATGTGCACGCCCATTGGGTCAGTCAGACGCCCGTACTGGTCCAGGCCTGCGGACAGAACGTAGCGTCCTTCAAGCAAACGGACCCTCAGGGGTAAAGCTAATGGCAGCTGATGTCAGCTAATAAACACAAAGAACATCAGCACAGTGGACCAGGGACGTTTTGTGGCTCAGTGGTTTAGGACGCTTTGCTTGAGATCGGAAGGTCGCAGGCTCAAATCCTGGAATCAGCAGAGTGGTGTCACTGTTGGGCTCCTGAGAAAGGCCCCTAACCCCGAGTTGCTCTAGGGACTGTCTGACCCTGATTTCGCAAATACACCAAGGTTAGGACGCAAAACGTCCTATGCACCAAAACGTCAAGGAGAGCCAAGTTACTGCTCCAGATACTCCTCGACTTAAAACTAACCGCACTTGCAACCCTACTGACCTACACATCACAAATAACAAATTACTTTGGCGTCACAACAGGTCTGGTGTCAGCCAACCATCGGTACCATAACATGGCTGCCTCGTCTGCCACGCTAGACAAAACAGCGTCTGGTGGCTTTATTTTCATCGCTCAGGCTGGCATATATATACGCAAACAAGTGTCTGCAGTATTTATTGTTGTGTAATCAAAGTGAAAGATCTGGTGGTAGGACTTGTGCTTCAGAACTTTATAATGTTCAACTTATGACCTGACTGTTGGAAACTAAACCTGTCATTAATCAAGGAGTATCTGTAGTAATAACTAAAACAGAACCAGCCAAATTCTGCGTTTCTTTGGCATACAGTAATGATCTCATCAATACAGCATCTCTTACAGACACAGGAAAATTAGACGCGAGTTCTAAGCCATCAACTAACACCCCCCACCAATTCTACAGACAGACCAGCTGACCTTGAGAATTTGGCCAACTTTTAGGAGTGGGTTTGGAACCAACACAGCTTTTTCTTGTTCTGTTCTCATCTGGATTCCAACCCAAATCAGTTTTATTCATTGCATATTATTTATTTATATTTTATCCAAAGCGACATACAAGTATTTTTTTTTGAGAAAGCAGGGTCAGCGATTGGGGGTTTAAGGGCCTTGCTCAGAGGTCAACAGCGAAATCACTCTTGCGACCTGGGGATTTGAACCGACGACCTTCCCGATCACAGGCGCAGCATCTTGACCCTCTGAGCCCCCCACCGACAAGTGTCATTAACAAGCACCTTCCCAACCCCACCAATCAACCACTGTAACATCAATCTCAGACAGGATTCTTACTGTTACACACAGAGGCAAAACTATTTAAATATTAAAAATAATTAAAAAAACGATGGGGATTCTTACCACCCAGCGCATAGAGAAGCTCCAGGGCCTGGACCATAGACTGGGCTGGCGGAGGCTGCAACACATAGGCAACCATCAAGACACGACCAAGGGGCTGCAATGAATGCTGGAAGATCATGACAAGGCGTCTGGGGGCAGGAGAATCACTGGGCCCGCAGGCAGGGTGACCCCAAGACCACATCTGGCTCCCGTGGACACTCACTGAGAGGAAGCTGAAGCGGAGGACGTTGTCAATGCCCAGGGCTTTCAGCTGCAGGATCACTGGGGCCAGATTTGTGCGCTGCATCTCGGGCACAGTGGACGCAGGTAGCTTCTCGTAATCCTCCTCTGTGGAAGAGCAGACTTGTGTGGGGAACACGGCCACAGATCAATTTGTAAGAGGTCCCGCTCCAGCCCAAGAAGGCCAGAACCAGGGTTAGGTTTTCTGTTCCTGGGGCGCCACTGAGAAAGTCACTTCAGGGCCCCCCCTCGCGGAATTCAGATGTTTCAAAAACTAAACAAATGGCTAATGAGTGGAGTCAGAAGACCGTACCTAGCTAGCTGGATAGCAGAAAATACTACTTCAGCATCCCCTGAATAAGGAACAAGTTTATTTCATATTTAGCGTAGTACCTGTTTCTGATCCCATGCGTGGTTTGAGTGCCCCACTGTTGCTGGGAGGAACATACCTGTGTAGAGGCGGAAGCACTTTCCAGAACGGTAGCGCCCCCCTCTGCCGGCCCGCTGACTTGCGGAGGCCTTGGAAATGGGCATCACCACCAAAGACTCAATGGCCGTCTTCGGATTGTAGGCCCGTAGTTTGACGAACGCACAGTCGATGACAAAAACAATCCCGTTGATGGTGATGGAGGTCTCGGCGATATTAGTCGCAACGATCACCTGGCCACACATCCCGAAGTGTTAATTTTAATAAAATACGGAGAACGGCAGCTTCTGGAAACAGGTTTACATCCAGCATTTTTTGTAGTTTACCTTCCGCACAGTAGGGGGCACTCTCTCAAAGACCTTCATCTGCTCAGCATATGGCAAGCCGGCATACATGGGAAGGACACGTAGGTGCTTCTTCATACCGTAACGGGACAAGGACCGGGCCTGCTCCACTAACATGGACACTACTTTCTCTACCTCCTCCTGCAGAAAGATGAAGTGTAACCAACACAAGACAGCTAATGAACCCTCACGCAACACAATGTCTACATTTACCCCATTTACTGATGGCCCAATAACGTTTCCACATGAGTGTTTTCACAATGTTCCTAGATACATTTTTCCATGGTAAATCGTCTATGGCTTCCTTATTATAAAAAGAATAGCTCATTCTAAAGATAACCGTTTCATATAATTGCAAAATGCCCTCCCAATAGGATCATGAGAAAAATTCTAGTTACATAGCCGGTCCGGCAGGCCCACCTGTCCTGTGAGAAAGGCCAGAACATCGCCATCATCCTCCGTTTCATGGATTTTCAACACAGTCTCCACTGTCGCCTTTACGTAATCAGGAACAGGACTAAAAAGAATCATTAGTGAAAGTGAAATTCCAAATGAAATTAAACACAATGGCAACTGATTGAGTACAAGATCTCTCTCCTCACCCACCAGTGCATTTATGGAAACGCTCCTCTTTACTTAAAAGAACTGATGACAACTCAAACCACAACACGACCCCCCCCCTCGCTCTTCACAGTTCAATCGCCTCCATGCCCCCAAAACTAATGTCAGCACGATGGGCGATTGGACCTCTGTGCTGCTGCGCTTCGCCTATGGAATGTCCTTCCTGACACACTGAGGGAGGCCCAATCTACTGACAGTGGGACTTAAACAGCTTGTATCATTCCTAATTTTTTGCTTTATAGCTCTTGTTTTTGATTGTTGAGGTTTTGTAGCTCTTAGAGCTTTACTCCAAAAAAGTGCGTTATAAATAAAATGTATTATTATTACTTCCAATGCAAGAGTGGGCAAGTTTGTATAACAAGGGTTTCAAGGCATCAGGCCACAATTACTGAGTCAAAATCATCACCATGGCAACCATCGATCGATCCATGGGCGGGGGGATCTGGCATACCTGACCGTGTAAAACACATCCACAGGGAACGTGCGTCCCTCCACCGTAAGGATGCCACAGGTGTCTTTGGTCGGGTCGCCCGTCTCGTTCAGGTTGAAGAACTCTTGGAATTTCTTTGGGAAGATACAAGGTGTTGCATGCGTGCATCATGAACGAGAGAAATGCAGTCATGTTATACATTATGCAGCGTGTCCCTGCAATGGACTGGCATCCCAGCCAGGGTATTCCCCTGCATCTCCTGGGACAGGGTCCAGACTCACCACAGCCCAGTAATGAAAAACAGTAATGGATGATGGATGGATTGTACTGTGCATGTAATTGTCCCAATTTGAACACTGAGCCAAAGATTATGTCGTTTACCGTTATTCACGGTTGTGTTTTCTTTTCCCACATTTTCATATTTTTAAGGGCTCCTCCAAATGAACTTGCTCCTTATGGGTCTTACTTGACTTGACAAGCCTAACTTGGTTTATCCTGAGTTTGGTTGATTAACGGAGGACCAGAGCAGGCTGGTGTGGTTACAGGGACCTAATTAACAGATTCGCTAGCCACCGCGTCTACACGCGACGCCGGGTTACCTTAGCATCGAGGGTGGCCGAGGCCACGATCAACCGAAGATCTCGCCGTTTCCTTTGAATCTGCGTGGTTCAGGGAAGAGAAGATGTTGTTACCCAGAGGTGGGGGTCAGACCACAGCACAGTGTGAGAGGGGAAGCCTACACATCACCTTCTTCAGCAGGCCGATGGCTATATCTGTGTACAGCGTCCTCTCGTGGGCCTCATCCAGCATCAGGACACTGGGAGGAGGGAATGGTGGACTCACTCTTACCGTTTCCTGTTATCTATTCCTGTTATCAAAATCCACGTACTTGGTAGTGTGCTCAGCCAATGACGTCGATTTTGAAATAGGCTCAACCAATAGAAAACCCTGTGTGATGAAAAGGTTACCTGTACTTCTTCAGCAAGGGGTCGGCCATCATTTCCCGAATCAGCATTCCGTCTGTCAGAAACTAGAGGGAGGGGAGGGGGGGTGATTACGGTTCATGGCTAAATTAGACGGCACCAATAGCACGGGTCATGACTTCCTGTGCTGCATTTACCTTTATCCGGGAGGCATGGGGGTCAGAGCAGTCCTCGAATCGGATGCTGTAGCCCACCTCGTGGCCCAGAAGGGCACCCCGCTCCTCCGCTACTCGACTCGCAATCTGGGACGGAAGGATAGAGGGAGAGAATGTGACCAACAGGTGAGTGTGAAATGGACCATTCCTGGAGTGCGTTGTTGGTGGGAGGTGGGGGGGGGTCCTATGTTTATTAATAGTTAGCAGGACGGAAATAGCTAGAGAATAGAGAGAAAGCGGGATACTCACTGAAATAGCTGCCACCCTGCGAGGCTGGGTCACCCCAATCACCTTTCCCTCTGCTGCCCATCCGGCCTCTAGCAGATACTGAGGGAGAAGAGAGAGAGAGAGAGAGAGAGAGAGAGAGAGAGAGAGAGAGAGAGATGACACACTGAAGGAGAGGCACAGCAAAGGCCCCCAGGGCCGATTCTTTCAGAGCACAGCTCTCCGATTCGCTTTTCTAAAAATAAACATATACATTAGCATCAGTGGTGTCACAGCTCTGCCCGCTTCATGACACCGAGGTCGCAAGTCGGTGCTGAAAAAACGAGCTGCGAGGATTCAGTACGGTGCGTATGAAAGAACAGGAATAGCGAGTAAATAATAGAGTAAATAACACATAAACAAATATGGAGGCAACAGCGGACACTAATGACACTCGTGGTTTGAGAACAGGGTTACAAAATTCTGGGAATCTTCCCATTAATTCCCATACATTCCTGTTAATTCCCCTGGAAAGCTTCCAACTTGGAATATTTCCAAAATTCCTCAGCTTAACTTCCCATGGAATGGAAGGTTTCAGGAAAGTTTCTGATAAATTTCCGCCCCTTTGCAACTATAATTGTGAACGTATAAAAAAAAAAAAATTAAACCAAACAAGCACAACAAGATACAAAGCATGCTACAGAAATACTAATTAATTAGGTAAATACCAAATACCATCAGTTAGGGTTAATTTTTGCACATACATTTCTGATCATAGAAGATATGACTGAGGTCATTGTCTCCAGCATCTTTCCGGTGACAGGAAACCGTACAAATCCAAGGCGGTTTTTGCATAAGGCTGTACCTTACTGGATCAGCCACTGGGGGGCACCATCCGAGTCACATACCCACCTGGGGAATCTGAGTGCTTTTCCCACACCCTGTCTCACCAACAATCACCACCGTCTGGTAGCTTTCAACCAGGTACAGGATATGGTTTCTGTGCTGGAAAGGGAACAGTTTCGGGTAAATTTTAGCAGTTCGACAGAAAGGCATCGATAACAAAAGCATAATGTACCGAAACATATACAGTAATGAGCACAAAGCACCAAGGGCTTAACTTCAGGTCAGACATTGGAGGGCTCCACCCATTTAGGGAAGTCTAGGGGTTGATATTGGCCAGTTTTAATTATTGGGGAGGTTACCACCCCCCATAATTTACACCCCTGCAAATCACTAATACATAATTTATTGCTGGGAAATACTCCACTTCTGTGCACCATTATCAAAGACAGGCCATACTGCACTATCGATCTTTACTCTCCGGTGACATCATAGTTCAGTACCTTGAAGACCGGCAGTTTCTGTCTCTGCTTCTCGATAGACAGTGTGTTGTGGGGGTTATAGATAACAGGACAGCTGATGGTCTCGGTGGTCAGATCCCTCTCTTCAGACACACTAGGGCTGTCTGACCCTGATGGGGTAATATTTGTCAGCATTGTCAAAGCAGAACTTTATACCAATATTGATATTTTTAGTATTTTACTGTTATTGAACATCCTGTTTTACAGAGACACACAGACACAGACATAAAGTTTGGGTTCGGTCCCAGAATCGTCCATTTACTCAACACCCCTGAAGCAGTTTTTGGGACTAAGGGCTTAGCTCAAGAGGCCAACACTGCAATAACTATATTGCTAGCCAAGGGATTCGAACCAGCAACCTCCTGGACACAGGTACATATTGCTGACTCACACAGTTAACACAAACCGAAGTGACCCACAAGTATCTGGAGAATGGTGTGAAGTCCCATGTCTGAATCCTGCTGTGTTATATCCTTAAATGGTTTTACTACAGAACATTTCACATTTTAAAAAAGTGTCATTTCCACTGTCCAAGCCTCAGAAGTAACTTGGGACTGGTTTGTGTCTTGGGGGAGAAATTCACTCAAGCTAATATCTGATCCTACAGTTAGCAGACTTTCATAATACATTAAGTTATTTAAACGAGGTTTAGGATTAAAATGCAGGCGTTTAAACTCCTTGCGAATAAGGGAGAACAACCTTGCCGAGCTTCAATGTCGTCCTCTGTTTCCTCGGTTAATGGATCAATAACCAGACCGAAATACGTCAGCCCTCATACCCACCAAAAATAAAAAGCAAACTGAGTGCTGCTGAAAGAAGTCAGATCCCGCTAAAACCCTTCAGTAATTTAAACTAACAGCATTCTAGCATAAATGGGAAAAAGCCTTTAATGGCGATTTTAGCCTAATTATGAACATGGAAAACAAATTACCTTATGGTATTAAACTCCACACACATTTCCACACGTAATACAATTTCACAGTTATTTTCCATATTATAGCACATTAACAGCACGGTTTGCATGTGTTTTTGCTATGTTTACGTCCAGAATTGAATGAATGTCCATGACGCAATGGAAGTATCTGTTCTAAGGCGGAAGGGAGATGCCAGCAGAAAGAGGTCGCGGTTGATCGCGATTTTAGGAGCTTCTGCAAAGCCGTGACAACCTCGGTTACTGGATACATTACATGTTCACTAGAAACTGTAGATGTGAGGTTCATGATCTCATCGATGTCCTGCACGATCGCTAAGCACCAAGAGGGCAGCCGCCTACCGGCGATCCGACCTGTTTTTCTGTCTTGAGCTGTATTTTAATATATCAGTACAATACCGTCTATCAGGCTACGAACATGTATATAGCAGGAAAATTCTTTTATTTTCGGTTCACTTTCAGAGTTTTTGCGGACGATTTTGCAAACAAACAATGTCTGCCGGTCCCACCTGGCACGTTGCAACGCGCTTCTTTAAAACAGCTGCCAGGGACATTTCCGTATAAAACGCGGGATGAATGGTTTATATGCATAAGAAACCGCATTTCAATCCCACTGTGGAGCAGCGCGCGTTAAGGTTCTTACCGGGTTTCCAAAATTTCATGGAGGGAAGGGGCGCCGCCATCTTTGGTCGCAGGTCATAATAGAAACTTTATTGAAGGGGATGGTGAGAGACAGGCTGCGGAGTACTGGGCGGAAGGGGGCGCTGTCCACCTGCGGGACACTGCATGCGTGTCTGTGTGTCAGACTGCTGGAGCACATGGGTTCAGGAGGAAAAAAATATACATATATGAAATATTATTCCTAAACTAATAATTAAATCTAAGGGGGAAATTCGAACATTAACTTGCTGAATTTTATCTGTGGGAAAATAATTAAAAAAAAAGTAAACCCGATTTTAAATAATAGGAAACCCCAAGAAAATGATCTTGGTAAATGGCAATACATTCAACGTGATGTCTAGTTCGAGCATGTTTCGTTCTTTTTAAATAGAATTACATTTAGGCGTAGGATGTTACCCATAAATTCTGGACTGACATTAATATATGCAGAAATAAATTCAAAGAAATCAATATTAAGATCTAATGACTAGTCAACGCTCTAACACTTAAGTATGTTACAGTTCATTTTATAGCATATTATTTTTCCGGCATGGGGTCTTATTAAAATGCATTTTGATTGATATTTTATCGTACAATTTTTTTTCTTTGCTTTCGATCAGGTTTAAACTATACTGCACTTGTAACAAGCTCACTTAATGAAACCATTAAAAGTGAATTCCAGAATAATTTAATGAAATTCAGAATAAATGCATGGCATAATTAAAAATTTTACAACACACACTTTATTGTAATCCTAAAAAGGACCAATTGCCTTAACATTCTCAAGCACAGAAATAATGTACATTTTAAAATTATGAAAAATTCAATGCTAACAGTAGCCTAAACGCTTGTGTGTACACCCATTCAAGTTACTTTACAAACTTCCATTTCCCTAAACATTTTTAATATTACTATTATTTTACTTTAACCTTTTATACTTTGTCCATCGACGCAGAGGAGTTCCCTGCATTTCCAGACCCTGACTAGCTCTATTCTCCTGGCCATCAGTGTCTTTCCTCCGCCGTGGGCTCAGGGGGAGGTTTGTGAGCTGCGCCAGCTCCCGGCGATTGGACAACAGTGTGACCATGTGATCCAGCTTGCAGCGAATCCTGGAGTAGTGGTGCCGTCGCGCCTTGGCCAGCTTCTGGAAGCGGTCGCTTGGGGCACCGTCGGGCGAGTGTCCAGAGCGCGACCGCCCTCTCATGCTGGCGGTATAATAGGACCGAGGTTCTGGCACCGGTCCGCAGGAGGCAGGTACCTGGAGATCCGTCTGAGTGGCAGAGGTTGAGAGGCACTGCCGTGTGGGCTGGTCCGTCTGCATCGCACGATCCATCAAGGTAACACTGGTTTGACTGCAAACAAAACCTGAGGACTGGGAATCCAGCACCGGAGAGTCCACCCCTGACTCCACAGTGTTCCCATCAGACGGAGCAGCAGACACGTGTTCCGGCCTATCTGCCACTATCGTGGACGTGTCGGATGAAGGACGGCCCTCACTGGGTCGTTTCCCGGCCTCGTCATCTGGCTCAAGATCGCCCCCTGGCTGCCCACGGTGCTCCTCGCCCACGGTCTCCGGCACAGGAACCTGGTGGGGCTCCCGCTTTAACAGGGACCTGACAGGCTGAAGATCCCTGGCACTGCTGGTCTGGTTACTGGCCAGAGCCTGGGGACCGAGAGGCAAGGACTGGGCATAGAGGATCCGGAACTCCAAGTCGAAGTTCTCTGTAATCTGACCGTAAAGCTCGATCAGATTGCTGCTGTTGAGCCTCCCATCTGTCCAGTTGAATCTGATGAGGGAAAGAAGAATGCAATTCAAATGATATAACTAAATTAATATCGCTAAATTAAACACATTAACAAAAATGCACATTTTAGATTTAGATTAGATTTCCCTTTATCGTCATCTTATCATGCACTTTCTTACAATGAAGAATGGAATACCATTCCTCCTAGATAAAACAGCATAAAAAGATAAAAACTAAAGGACATTTATATAAAAAAAAAAAAACCACACACACACACACACAGCTCGTATCCATGGTGATCCATGGTCCTTTTGCAGGGCGTAGCACCATGAAAGACCTTTTATAGCAGCATATCTTTGACAGTGTGCTGAAGGATATAGCAGTATGCACTGTTAAATAAACTGTCTTTTTATCAATACTGAAGTGCAGATGCAAGTGAAAGACTGCATTAGTGGGCAGAAGTCTGTGGTACAGGGGGGGTGAGGGGCCAGGGAATGAAGCCGTTTTGGTCCTGGTACGGATTGTACCTCTTAAGTCGTGAAACTAAATCTGCTGGCTTTCACACAGCTGTATAAGCAGTATTACCTGCGTGGACGAGATATAGTCTGAAATGATAAAGTTTCCTAGGAGAAAGACCAGGTTTACAGTAGCAGCTGTTCCTTACAAAGCTAAACCCGGACTCAGTCCTGTACTCGTCTTTGTATAGCAGCTTCCTGCAGAGTCCCTCTCGCTTCCACCTCAGTAATACAGGCCTCTCTGTCGCACAGGTTCACCCGGTGATGCTGGTCCTCCCATAATATGGATAGCTTTGCGTAAAAATGACAGAAAAGCCTCCCAATGAGCTCTGGTTTTACAGAATAACCTACATTTCTCATGCCTGGGATTGACACTATTTAAGTCCAGAACAGAAACACACACTGTAGGTAAGACAGCTTTGGGACTGGGGCAGCCAGTCCGGTCCCCCAAAAGTTACACAAGAGCCCTCCTGCTACCACTGCCCAGCCAGAATTTGACCATGACAATCTATTGTCACCTCCATCATCTTTTAATCGTCTCGCCAAAGCATACTTCATGTATTATTTCATTATTACAGTTGATTATTTTGTCTTTGGCTAACAATCATTTATAAAACCCAAACAGTTTAGAAATTAAAACTCCCTCACATTCTCCCCAGGGCAATCTGGTCCTAAACTCATTAAGTGACATTTCAGATACTGGCCCCACAACAGTGATTAGGAAACTGATCAGGTTATATAGCCCTCCCCCCCACCCCACACACATACACACAAACAGAAT